CCATTTCAATCTAAATTCGCGTGACTTTGACGAGGAGATAGACAGTGGTTGGAAATGTTGTTAAATGAGCCGGGCGGCACTGAATATTGCCTTGCATGTTTGATAATGAAAATGTCGTGCACTGACAAGCATCACCGACGGATAGCGACACGTTAGAATTCACATAAACCTGATTGATGTCTATTGCCATTCTTTAGCCAACGAAGCGCTAGTGCACTACTTCAGGCAAAGAAGTACAGATGAGGTCAGGCAGGTGTTGCCACACTTTTATTCATTAAATCGCCACACAAACAGTTCTAGGCGACTTAAATGAACCTGCTGTGAATGGCTTTGTACCTCTCGTCTCCACCAAAAGAGTGTGTTCAACTCCTCCGTATCACTCACCTATCTCACTGTTTTCTAAAATTTAAACGCCCCTTTGACCTCATCCTGTCTGTCTGTAAAAATTTTGCCACTGAAAAGCAAAAAATACAAAGATCTACAACCTCACCACAGTGTGCCTGCCACGATGCAGAGTGCGTGGGAGGTTCAGCTTGATATCCGTTCCAGCAAGTGAGAGCATTCAAGCATATAATACACATGCTGATCGTGAGGAGGATCCCACGCAATCGCCATCAACGTGGGGCTTTTCCCTCATTGATGATGTCGTTCAGTTGGCATTTTAGTGCAATGAGGAATTGACATATGCTCCGAAAAATGCTAAATTTATCCTCCTGTATAGAGAAATTTTGCCGTTCGGATTGACTACACACTCGGTCCAACCTGTGCCCGTCTCAATTTTATAACTTGATTGTGATAAGCAGTTTTTGATCGGAAGTTATTGACAAGGAGTATCCCTTTCCAAAATGCCTCAACTTCTCATTCCATTTTGTTCCAATTAAGCCAAACTGACGATTGGAAGCATAAACTGCTTAAATGCACCTTAATATTGGGAAGACCGAAAGACAGCCCAGTCTCGCCTACAACAATTCTGAGTATGCCACAATGAGAGACAATTCGCACTGCAACGTCGCAGTACATGGCTGCGCATGGCAGAATGATAGGGTGATTCGACAAAAAAAGTGAAATCAAACGTACACCTCTATTAATACAAAAGTAGTTCAGCAAGAAGTAGTTTATGCCTGCACTTAAGCTTTGTGGACCCATCAACGTGCATTTTTCCCATTTCACTCTACCTCATTCACACTGCTCTTTCATCTTCCCATCTAATTACCCCAACCTTCTGCAAATATAACATCACGGTGTTTGGGAAATGGAGGTGTGACATGTGGAGTGCCCTGAACACGATTTCCAATTCCTTCTCCAACGACAAACGATGCTTCCATACCATACGTGATTGTGACACGCAAGTCAACCAGTGGTTGCATCGCTTCAATATACCGCGTCTGTGCACCATAATGAGGAGACGTGTAGAAGCTGTCTGCTGATCCACCTACACAAAACAGCGTGTCGTGTGGTTAAATGAATGGATGAAGAAGTTGCCTTATAGGTCAGGGATATAGGCCACACAGGTTGATATGATTGGTGCACATTCCTATAAATACGTTGTGTTTTGTGAATGAAACTTGTTATTGCGGTGAAGATGTCCTTGC